ACAGCAACCTTTTGAGATAGGCACTACTTTTATCGTCCACATTCTACAAATGGAAAAAGAAAACACAGAGAACTTAATACATTTCTCCACGGTTGGTTACACAGCTAGTAAGTGGTGCAAACCAGGCTTTAAATCTAACAATCTTATTCCCCCAGAGATGTCAACCACTATGCTACGCTGCCTCCCAAAACAAGTACAGTAATATTCCACGGGTGTTGACAACTGAAGACAAAGACAAGCATAGGACTAAAACTGAAAATAAAACTTGATACGAGCTTCCTAGCAACCAATTCTTAAAGAAAAAGGTGAGGAATTAACCTCAGTAGGGTGATCAACCATCCTGGCTAGCACAGGACTAAGGGGTCTCCCAGAACACAGGACTTTCAGTGCAAAAGCTGAGGTGGCTGGATGCCCTACTGAAAAAGGCTTTATAATATTTTATTAGGCCTCACATAATTAAAAATATACAAAATCTTTATGGTGCTTTCAAACCTACATTGGCTCCTTCAGCACCTCCTCCCACCAACATTAAAAATACTAAACAATTTTCTCTACACTCTGCTTGGGAAAAATGAAGGGATTGTAGAAAAATGAAACACTGTTAATTGTTGGTTTCCAATCATCACATCTATCACTGTTTTCAAGAGTCTGGGTAAGAGGGGCATACAAATTCTTGGCTAAATTCTGCCCTATCAACTCCAGCTGTGCTTTCATTTTCTTTCCCAAGGTCATTTAAGATTACTTTCTTAAAAAAAAAAAAAATCTTCCTTTAGATTTTGCCATTTGCAACAACAGGGATGGACCTAGAGGGTATTATGCTAAGTGCAATAAGTTAGACAGAAAAAGACAAACACCATACAATTTCGCTTCTATATATATGTGGAATCTAAAAAAACAAAACAGATGAATAAACAGACCAAAAAAAAAAAGCAGAAACAGACCCATAAATATAAGAATAAACTGGTGGTTGCCAGAGGGGAAGGAGCTAAGGGGATGGGTAAAATGGATAAAGAGGGGTGGGAGGTCCAGGCTTCTGGTTATGGAATGGATAAGTCATGGAGATGAAAGGCATAGCACAGGGAATATAGTCAGTGGTATTTTAATGAAGTGTTGTATGGTGATAAATGGCAGCTACACTTGTGGTGAGCCCAGCAAAAGGTACAGACTTGTCCAATCACTATGTTGTACACCTGAAACTAAAGTAACATTGTCTGTCAACTGTACTTCAATTAAAAAAAAAAATCTTCCCTATGTCACAGGTAGAGATGCAGGCCAGTGGTTTTTTAGAAAGCTTGGTGGCAGCCTCGTCAGAACTCATGGGAGAAACCAAACCAAGACCAAGCAGTAAATCTCCTAACGTCACTTGAAACAATAGCTCTGAAATCGGTGATGAGCTTGATGAAGATGAGGACCAAGTTTTATGTATCTGTATTCCCCCTATAGCAACCCCTTGCAAATAAATGTTGTCTTAATTGCAATCTTAATCTCAGTATGTCAGAGCTAAAAAGATCCACAACTGTCATTCAGTGCAAATGTGTACAAATGAGTATACATGGAGCATGGAGAAGAGAAGTCAATTGCCCAAGGTGGGTCACAAAAGTGACGTGAGACAAACTGAATTAAATGGGAGGTGAGCTATTCCTTAATTAAGGCAAGAAAACCCCACTAGGTTCTGTGAAAGAAAACAATGGATCACTTAAGGGGCCAGGATTGTAATTCCAATTCAGGTGATCCATTATGGGACGTAAGTAAAAAAGGAAAGGAAACATTTTAAGGATCCCATGTAAAATAATGAGCAACACTTCAAGTGGAAAAGACAAAATATTTTTAGGGAGAGGAACAAACCTCTGCCGTGATGTGTTGAGAACTTCAGGAAAACCGAAGAAATTTTAGACTAAATATTTTATGGATTTTTTCCAGCCAATTTAAGTTTCTATTTAGACTAAGTGCATTTTTTTTTTTTTTTACTATAAAAGAAATATAACATGATCACATTTAACCAAAATACCTGAATGCCTAGTATGGGCCAGTCACTGTGCTAGGGCAGCAAACAAGGAAAAGTCAAGCCAATGGGAAGGTGAGCCAGCTACTTGACAATACACACACACCTTCATACAAACACTCAAAATGTTAATACAGAACAGAAAAATTCCAATGAGAATATCTCCAAATCTCAATCACAATATCTCATCTCAATGCACAGTCAAATCAGTGGATCAATCCATCCATCAGTCAGTATTTCTGAACAGCTGTTACCTGCTCAATCACTGCTTTTAAGAAACAAATGGAACTGGAGGGTATTATGTTGAGCGAAATAAGTCAAACAGAGAAAGATATGTATCATATGACCTCACTGATATGAGGAATTCTTGATCTCAGGAAACAAAATGAGGGTTGCTGGAGTGGGGGGTGGGGGGGGAGGGATGGGGTGACGGGGTGATAGACACTGGGGAGGGTATGTGCTCTGGTAAGCGCTGTGAATTGCGCAAGACTGTTGAATCTCAGATCTGTACCTGTGAAACAAATAATGCAATATATGTTAAGAAAAAAAAGAAGAAGAAGAAGAATGTAGCAGGAGGGGAAGAATGAAGGGGGGGAAATCGGAGGGGTAGATGAACCATGAGAGACGATGGACTCTGAAAAACAAACTGAGGGTTCTAAAGGGGAGGGGGGTGGGAGGATGGGTTAGCCTGGTGATGGGTATTGAGGAGGACACATTCTGCATGGAGCACTGGGTGTTATGCACAAACAATGAATCATGGAACACTACATCTAAAACTGATGATGTAACGTATGGGGATAATATAAGAATAAAAAAATTTTAAAAAAAAGAAACAAATGAGAGAGAGATAGAGAGAGAGAATAATAGTATGGGTTGAAGTAGGGACTAGGGGCGTTGTGTTGGGGAGGGGGGCACAGTCAGTTTGGACTGAGAGAGACAGAAGAGGTTTTATTGATGGAGAGAGGGCTGAACTGACTTAAGGCATGTGATGAGCAGAGCATAAATGTGCTTCTCACAGCTGAGGTGCTCAGGCAACAGCGAGCCCACCTGTGGCTGGAGCAAAGCATTCAGGCAGAAAGCCCTAGGTAGGTGATGAAGATGAAAAAGGCCAGCTGGACCCAGACCAGGGATGAGTGCTCTACTCCAAGGTGGGAAGTCTAGTGAAGGGCTACACAGCTGTCCAGGCTACCACTGCAAACCTCATTTTGCAAGACTTTTTTTTTTTTTTTTCCCCAAAAAAGGTATATGTAATTTGATCCTTCGATTTTTTCATGGCTAGATCTAAGCAGATTAGTTCTAAGGTTACATGATTTTTTAAATATCTCTGTTTGTTCCCAGTTCACCAATACAGTCTTAGGGCCGTAAACGAGGGAAGACTTAAGGTGATATTCCATATTAGTCATCTTCCAAGGAATCTGAGGCAAAACATACTTTCTTTTGCCTGAAAGGAAACAGAATTCACAAAGTTCTTTGTGATTCTTTAACACAAAACGTCACACTGGCAGAACAGAGCTAAAGGTATCCCAAGTCCAGCTTGCACAAATTCTATAACATATTTGAAGAAAAAGAAATCATTAGAAGCAGAAGAATAAAAGGAAAATTTGAAATGAACAAGACTTATTGTTCAGAAAAGCCATTTTAACAAAGGAAAATCGTATTCACCTTAAAAACTTTTCCTTAAAATCATGTTAACAATCCTTCATAATCATGAATAAATTGTGATTTAAAGAAAGTATAAACTCCTTCAAAATAGTTCAGCACTAACCATTTGCAAGCATTTCTTTCCCTTTTTCTTCTCTTTTTTTTCCCAGAAATCCCAACATAGGTAATTGAGTAGCTCTATAGAATATACTTGTAAAGTAACATCCTAGTATTTACACTAATACCCAGGCAGTCAAGAGAGATCCTTTTGTTTCATTAGTGTTTCTAAATTTGGGGGGGCAGGGGTGTGTGTGTGTATGTGTGTGAGGGAGGGGGAGGCCCTACTATTTTTTAAATGCTCAAATAAAACAAATACCATAAAAAAGAACTTGTGACTTAGACATGCCCCGAGTTCAGTTTTGCCAGGAATGGAAAAAACAGTCAACAGAGCCCTAACCTCCTTTCTCTCTTGACTATACAATAGTGTTCAAAGAGGTTTAGTCCTACTATGAAAGACTCATGTTAGACATTGGAAGGGTCTAATAGAGAATGAGCACCAGGCATTGAATAAACTAGGGAGATGGTGACCTTTTGCCCCTTGTGCTGAAAGCCCAGCACATCCTGTAGCAGAGGAACAGAAAAAAGCCGGTGTGCATCCAGGTGCTGCAAAATCCTTGCCTCTGGATTTCTCCCACACTCTGTTCCTTAAACAGTCTAAAACTGAAACAGGACTTAAATGGTATTAGCGAGTGAGAGAAAAGTACAATTCCTGGAACCAACTGTTCCACTGTCCCTTAATCCTTTGTTCCCCATATTGTTTGAGTCCTGCAGCACGCAGCACACATTCCACTAGCAACAGGCAAGACAATGGATTTAGCAGCGGCTGGACAATTAGTCCCAATTAGGCCTATTTCCCCGCTGAATGTAAAGGGGTAGTGGGGTGAGGTGTGGGGGGAAAAACTACAGAAATTTTAAAGAAATATTTCATCGTGGAGGCAAACAATACATGTAAAGCAAACTGAACCAGGGGTCAGGAGACTCTGCCAAAAGTCACTGTGTGACACTGGGCAAATACCTTAACCTCTCTGTTGTTACCCACAAAATGCGGGCAACCGACCACCACCCCTTAGATCTGGTGATCCAACGTCAGATTGTGGTTTTCAAAAGTACATTGAAAATCTGAAAAAGTTACACAGATGCAGGGTATTCCTCTGAGCTATATTTGGAAGCACAGATACTCATCTGTTTTATAAATCATATACCTTTTATTCTCCCTGGCAGAAGTCATCAGAGACTTTCTTATTTTATTTCTATTTTCTTGATTGCTAATTTTTTTAAGTTCATGAGTGATACTTACATATGTACATGTGGCGGCTGGAATCTGCTCTGGTTGATATTGTAGTGCGTGAATGCCTGGGTGGGGTTTGAGCTATACTCATCCACCGTTATGGTAACTTTGCCTTGAGAAGGAATCCCATGAGCCATCCTTCCTCCCTATAGGCATGAGCAATTCACAAGTTTCCGGAACAAAGGATGGACGCAGGCATGGTGTGTTTCAGCCAACCTCTGAACCCAAGGATCTACTCATCAATACCACTGTGCGTTTCTGGAAAAAAAAAAAAAAAAAAAAAAAAATTTATAAAATGAGAACAAAGAAAACGAAGGTGCTCTAAGAAACATCAAATTTGACACCTGGACATGAAATGGACTCAGGAAAAATCTGAATGTGTGTCGTTGCCCCGTGAATACAACCTTCCCCAGCACTCTATCCTGCATGCACTTCAGAGTGGACCCTGCGCTCCATATGACATTGCTGGCTGCTGGCAAATCACTTCAGTGGCGTTCAAACTAAGATTTCCTCTTTAATTATAATTATGGCACTTAACATGAATTACGGAAGGGGCATATCCACAGTTGCCATGGTGTCTAACTATAAATGGTTTGTGCTCGAAGTGGAGAATCTTCCAAACCTTCCCTGCTAATTGGAATGTCTAGTCTGTACAAAGTTGATGTCATAGAATAATGTGAAATCTCAATGCTTAACACAGCCATATAACACGATATCAAATGTAAGTTTAAAATGCTGCACTTATAATAGATACCTGTGTATAGCTATAATACGCACATAATATAGGCACATGTTACATGCAATTTTTTCTTTCACAGGCAGTTCCCCAAATACCCAGGTACTCAACACCTGGTATACATATGTATTCCATTCTGGCCAAGAATCTTATGGTAGGGCAAATCCTTCTTGCTAAATGTAATATGATTTCTTCAAACACTACAGTCACACGGGGGAAAGTCAAACACATCCAGACTTGGACCACTACTTGGATGCATTCACTATGGCCCCTCTTAGAGCCCAAAGAGAGCACTGAAAGGGGGTGTCCATTACGTCTACCACCTCATTCTTGCCTGGTGCTGTATAATTCTCAGCAGCTGGTTTCATCCTCTCAAAATTTCCACTAGTTTTGATTTTTCTGATAAATGTCAATATATTATTTGCTGCGCTGGGTTGAGAAATGAGGATGTTTATTTTTATGGTAGGTATGCAAAGACTAAGAGAGCAAATCCCTGCACTGAGGCTGTTGGAACTCATCAGTGCAACAAAGAAGAAACGGGTAGCACCCTCCTTGAGTAACCCTGGGGTAACCCACGCTCCTTAAGTGCTCTGCATCAGAATATGTTTGCCATGTGCACCATTAAGCTCCAGGAGTCTTAGCTGTTATCTCAAATAAAAATATTTAGAATAATAAGATTAGATTTAAATTTGGCATGAAACACCTTAGATATCAAGCAAAAGGCAGATGGCCTGCCATAGGCCATTTATTTTATTATTTTACAACCCGGGGGTTGTGTAGTCCTCCATATGCTAGGTGGGCTAAGAAATTCCACAGCGTTCTACTCAAATCATTGCCTTCTTCATATTAGCAAAGCAAGCTAAATGACACCCACTTTGCCTTCGTTCCTAATGCACAACGCCACTGCCAAGACATGAATCCCTGGTGTTCTGGCATTTTAAACGAAGTGTCACTTTGGGTTCTCTTTCTTCTTCCTGACTTCATGGGAGGTAGGAGTCCTTTAAGCACTAGTTGATAGACAACCAGGCCAGTAGGATTAACTAAATTAAAATCTTTCCCTGCTCCTTTGATGTAAGATATCTATAAGAACTGCTTACAAATCATAATGTAGCAGTTTTCATACCAAGTTTGCAGCTGTTTCCTTAATTTCCCCCACAATTATATTTTACTGTTATTTTGCATAACAGTAAAACACAACACCTGCTTCAAATTGCAGTCCTGTTCTAAGTACTGTAATTCTCTTTTGAGACACAAAGTACCGAGACACTACTGAAGCGCAAAACTGCATAATTGCGCCATGCTGAAAAGTAAATACAAATGAAAACATCTTCCTGTTATAGAAATGACTGTCATTAAAAAGAATGTTAGCCATCAAAGCACAGAGGGAAAAAAAAATACACATTTTCAGACTGCGAGAACTTAGTGTTTGCATAAATTAAAGAGTGGTGTAAAAATTACATGGCAATTCTTATGTTCCTGCCATCAAAGTCTATTGTGTGAGATACGCAGCATTAAGAAGCAAAGGAGACAAAATTCACGTCTACGCCACTGTGACCTCTCAATAACGATCTCTGCACTCTGTGTCAGAGAAAGGTTTAAATGTTCCTGGAGTAAACTCACCAATTAAACTAAGCAAAAGAGCCTAGAAATAAAATTTCCACACCTATTATGTAAATATCTATGCAGTGACTTAGAGGAGTTAGGATTAGACCTTCCCATTTGAAGCAGAGAACTTAGAAGGTGATCAGTTCACACTCCTCAATGGTCCAGTCTATCCTAAAGTCCAAGTAGGATTGCCTTTTCTATCAAGTGAACATCTGTGCCTCTTTGCACCTTTGCCCCAGCAAGACAAATAGAACATCTTTTCATCAGCAAGCACAGGCCCCTGTAACTCTGAAGGGCTAAATGGGTGGCTGGCACCTCATTTGAATTCATCTCTACCATGTTCTCTTTCAAATGTTTTATCGAAAGAGTGCACCTGCAGTGTCTACCTTCTTTAATCTGGAGTCCTTTGAAGAAACTGTCGGACTGAGGCAGAGAGCTTCAAAACTTTCACAGGAACCTTTACAGACAAGTCAAGAAAAGGCTTATTTTTTAAAATACTATGTTCACCCCCACTCAGATATTAAACACCAACACATGGAAAAGGTTTTTTTTTTTCTAGCAAACTCTCAAAGAGAGGGGACAATGGCCCCTCCTCTGACCTGAGAAATTTGGAAAAAGCTTGAAACAAGACAGAATGATACACAGCCTAAAACTATCCAAAAGCTGATTTACCTTGCTTCACATATTTAGGCAGTAAAAGCTTCCAAATTTCAGATTTTGGAGCATCTCATCCTCATTACACTTACATCACTTTTTACATATAATATTTAAAGAGTATTCTTTCAATTTTCATTTTATAATTTCAGCACATTTGCTCCACAAAACAAAGGAACCTGGCACTAAATGCCAGGAATCCTAAAGGAGAATCTAAAAGGGACTGACATTGCCAAATATTCATGCTGGTGCTAGTTTGATTTTCGCCTTAAAAAAAATCGTGTGGGCTCATTTTGCATTTCCTAGACAGCAATAGAGTCTCCTGCCCCTTAAGCTGTGCAACTTGCAATGTTCTTTTTCAGGAATCTAGCTGGAAAACCTTTTAAAGTCTGCTGGCAATGAAAGGATTAAAAGCTGAGGAATTAAATAACTGTCTCCACCTCCTAGACACCAGAAGTCCAATTTACCTAAAGTTTCAAAGCAACAACTCATGACCTCCCTACCCGAGCTCGTTTGGCACAGCCTATGAGAAAGGAGCCCGTGATTTCCTCGTTTAAACAAGGATGCTCATTTTATTCACTAGCCCTGAGAAGATCGCCCGACCGCCTGGCCGGACTTTGGAACTCGCCTGCTCCAACTCCACCAAATTTCGCTCTCTCCTCCCTCTGCCTGCCGCACGGATCGAGTGATTTCTCAACTCACGCCCCTACTCTTTTATGCCCACCTCCAGTTACTCATCCCCGTATCCCGGAGCGATGCCTACAAGCCTTCTCAGAGGCTTCTCCGCCAGGGTTTTGAGAGGGATGCACAAAGTTCCACGTGCCTCTGTCCACAGAGCGCCCCCCCCCCCCACTCCCGCCGCACTTACACCTGAACTTGTCTCCAGCACTGCGGACACCCGCCTGGCACATTCTTTCGGAGAGAAAGGGCAGGACTTTTCTCCTGCGCCTCTGGCAACGCGTAGAGCCTATATATGGTGGGGCGGGGGGCGCGGAATTCTCCACTTTGGATTGGTTTGTTTGTTTTAAATCTAGGGTGGGCAGTTGGGGGGGGGGTGTCCTTCAGCAACTACACACACACACACACACTCACACAGTCACACACCCGCCCTGCCCTCCCGGCTCACGGCCGGCTCGTCCGGGCTACAGCTCCCCCTTCCTTCCTGCAGCACCAGCTCTCCTTACTCGCTCAGTCCCCCGTTGCCACCACCGTCGCCTCCGCTACTGCCGCCGCCGCTAGCACGGCTGGAGCTGGCGCTCGCGGCCCCGGGCTCCGCCGGGCGCCTCTCTCTCTTTCTCTCCCCCAGCCCCGGATTGATTGATGACCACCGGCGGCCAATGGCTCTGACACCGCGCCATCCTCGCTCGAGCATCACAGCCCCACGCCCCCGACGTCAGCCTCGCGGGCGCACTGGCATCCCCGAACCCTCAGAGCGGAGCCCGCGCCCGGAGCCGCCACCGCCGCCTCCCTGCTCTCTGCCCGGAGCTGCCGGGCTGCTTTCCTGGAGCGGCGGAGAAAGGAAGGGAGGGAGCCAGCGAGCGTTGGAAGGGGGTGTGGAGGCCACGGATTTCCCCCCTCTTTAGAAATCTTCTTTCCCTTAAAGTTTTGTTTTTTTCCACCCGGACCTGTTTGTGTTTGTTTGCAGCATCTAAATCAATTACACATTTTGCATGACCCGCATTTGCTCTTAATTTGGGGTATGTTGGGGGAGGGGGTTAGTAAATGTTCTATAAATCTACCCCACCGGGGCATCCTTAATTTCTTGCTGGTGGATTCTAACTCCCTCCCCGATCTCCGGAAAAAATGCCCCCTTCATCTCCTAGGCCGCAAAACCCCGGAATTCAAAGGCTTTACAAAGATAACCCTGTTCCGTGTAAATAGCAAAGAAACTCCTGCCTCTCTGGAGAAGAAATCGGGCGGCAACGGTTACTTTTTCTCCTCGCTCGTCCCCCCGCCGCCGTGCCCGGGTCGCAGGCTCGCTCCGCAGGCTGCCATCGTGAAGAGACCGGAGGCGGCAGGGGACAGCGAGGTTGCGGCGCGGGGACAGGGTGAGAAAAAGCCCCGCGCGAGAGCTGCGCGCGCGCGGGCGGCCCCGGTGGCGGCCCCGGGGGCGGCCGCGGAGCGCAGCCCAAGCACAAAGCTGCGCAGCGCCTTCCCGGCCACCGCACCTCGCTCGGGCCGCCTCGGGCGCCCGGGGCTCGGGCCAACACAATGCACCCGGGCCTAGGCCGGGGCGGTTCGAACACATAACCCCGGGACTTTCTAGTAAACAGCTCGCCTAGCCCTCGTCCCCACCCCCATCCCCGCCGCCTGGCTTTCGCTGATGCCCCTCGCGGACACCCCCTTCACCCCTCCTAAGAAATCCCGGCGGAGAAGGGAGCTGGAGGTGGGGACCTCGGGGGCTGAGGACTGGGGGGTGGGGGGGGAGGGGAAATGAGCAGAGGGGCGAGATGGGGAGTGGGAGGGAGACAGCTCCTGAAAAAGAATTTGCTTTCGCTCCGGCGTAGAAAATACGCCCTCCTCGGGTTCCGAATTGCCCGGGAAGCGCCCGCTCGTGCGAATGTCAGGAGCACCGGGGCAGCCGCGGTCCGCAGCCTCCGAGCCCCTCGCACGCGCCTCTGACAAGGCACCTCTCACCCGGGCTCCGCTTTGTGTGTGCATTTTTTTTTTCCCTTCCTCTCGCGCGCGGCACCGGGCGCCCGGCCGCCTCCTCCCCCTCCCCCGCCCTCCGCCTCCCTTCCCGGGGCGGATTACCTTTCCCGGGCTGCGCTCCGGGTCCCGGGGATGCCTTCAGCGCCCAACGAGCAGGCGATCCATCGCGGAGCGGCCCGAGCCGGAGGGAGGCGTGCGGGGGGCGCGCGGGGGCGGCGAGGGGCGCGGGCGGGCCAGAACCTTCGACCCCGGAGGTCCCGCCGCGGGCTGGGGCGGGGGGCCGGGGGGCGCGGCACGAGAGGGAGGCGGGGGGGAGAAAGGACCCGAGCAGCCTCGATCTGGGGAGAGAGCGAGCGAGGGGGCGAGGAGAGGGAGCGAGGGCGCGGCGAGCCAGAGGGAGCGCGAGCGGTGCAGTGACAGGGACTGCCACTGGGGTCAAAGGAGCACAGCTCCAGGAAGCAGGGCGGCTGAGGCGCCGCTCCGTGCGCGCTCCCCGGCGGGACCCCGCGCCCCCGCGCGCCCCTCCTGCAGCCCGGGCCCGCTCGAACCCCCACCGGCGCCCCGAGGCCCCGGGGTTGCAAGAGGAGGAGGGAGCTGAGGGCGAGGCCGGCAGCCTGCTGGTGCTCTCGGGTCAAGCAGGCAGCAGGAAGCTGAGCCGCAAGTTCATCATCAGGAGTGTGATCAGCGTAAAAATGATAAGGGACTGGGGAGGGGGCGGCTGCGGAGCCCCAGAAAAATAAAGGGAGTTTTCCCTCCAAATGGGCGTCTTCTGCAAAGAGAACACCCAGGCCCCCCCATCCACCGACCTGCCTGGGGCTCTCTGGAGTCCTGGCACAGCTCCAGGGCGCCGAGCTCGCCGCGGGGGCAAGGGGAGCGGCTCGGGCCCTGGGCTCAAACCGAGGAAGGCGACCCTGGGTCCCCTCCCATCTGCTGAGCTTAGGCTTTCCTGGGGGAGAGCTGTGCTCTCTTTCCTCAAGGCTTTCAACTAGCCAGATACACACACACGCACACACACACCTTTCTCTCTGCAATGTTGTTCCTGAGAAAGAAAAGGCCAACCCAGCTGATAATTTTTTTCACCTCCATGAATTAAGGCAGGTTCAGAATAGGGGGGGTGAAGAGAGTCAAAGACTCTTGATTGTTTCCATTTTTGTCTTGGGAGCACATATTCCCCCCACCCCAAAATAAGCACTTCAGAAACATTTTAAAAATTAAAGTTGGTCCTCTGTTTTCTGCTACTTTGGGTAATGGGGAAAAAAGACTTTCAGAATTGTATGCAAACAACATAAGGAAAGGAAAGGCTGCTGAAATGCTAGAAGACAGAAGACACAAGGAAGAGAAGGCTTTTAGAAAACTTGGTTGGCGGAGCTGTCTATAAAAGATGAGGTGGCCCTGTGATGTTATGCCATTGTCAGAGCTGAAGGATTTGGACTGCAACCAGATCTAATTCCTTTCTAGGAGTCGGACTCAAAGATCTAGGCATTCTCCAAAGGGAAATCCAATGGATGTGTGTGAGAGAGAGAAGTGTGCTAAGTATACTATTTGACAACTGACTAGACATCCTGGCTGAAATTATATCCCCTAAAAATAAAAAGGAGCCATTTCAACCTGGTCTGTGGCCTCTGTGCTGAGACTAATTGGTTTCCAGGGTCTGGGGAGGAAGGGAGAGAGGCTGGTAGGAGCCCCTATAAAAGAAGATCAAACGGAATTCACTTGAAAATATTTCCCTTTTACAATGGGCTTTCCTGGCACTTGAATTTTAAGTAACCTATCTCTTATGCCTGAGCTGAAATGAAGGCAGAGATGGTGTTGCTAATAAATTTATTTTGTTGTACAATATGCCCAGAGTGTCAGTACTTGTCAAGTGTTCTGAGATCAAGAGAACAGTGATTCTCCTTGCCCAGCACAAATCACAGCAAGTGGCATTGACATTAAAGATGGCAAAGATGGGAGGGAAGGGGGGAACACCTTTAAATTTTGTTTTTGTTTTCCAGCTTAGCAGCAAACACTGACTAGAATCATGTTGAAGAAATGCTTGGTTTTGTTTCCCTTATTCTGAGTTAGCAGTGCACTCGTCTTAACTAAATGGTTTGAATTTTTTTGACTGATTTGGGCTGATTTAATCAGTTAAAAAAAAAAAAACCCACAAGCCAAATAATTTCTGTGGTTTTCTTCCCTTTTTTGTAATAACTGATAGTCAATCAAAACAGCCAAACTTAAATTCGTACATGAACCTGAATCTATATATGTGCACACAGATAATAAATAATAATGTGTTCTACTTAGTGGCACATTTTACAGGATATTTAATGCTATACAAAACAAGTGGTTGATCCTTTATAAAGTTGATGAAAATTTGTATATCATTCTACTGAGTGGGGAAAAACTGAGGCAAAAAAAGCTGTTTGAAATTGTAACTTGTAGTGTAGGAAGAAGTCATCCTCTTCTGTGTCTGTGATGATCAATTATCCACTGGGAGAAGTAGTGACCAAGCTGTATTAAGGCTGTGAATTTTTATCTCTATTAGGTTACCAAAATAAAAAAGCCAGAGAAATAGAAATAAATCTAAATAGTAAGTCAGGAACAAAAGGGACTCACTTCTCAAATAATTCTCATTACATGGATTTGAACATATTGTGTTTTGTTAAATCATATTGTCCTTCAGTATAGATACCTACACTAAAAGCTTGTTTTAAAATGATTGGATGTGAACCATGTCTGTCCCCTGACATCACCTTTGAAACATCGAGCCTCATTAGAGCAAACTTGAAATGCTATAAGCTGGGACTTCTTTTTTTTTTTAAACATAAGTGAGACTGTAAGCTTCATTTTTTTGTCATTGTTAAATTCAATTTTTACTGTTTATAATGGAAAACAAAAGAAGGCTAAAAATAAAATGCCAAGTTTATGATTGCCTTTATGCAAATATTACAAATTTTTCTCTTTAATGGAATGTAAATTTGGACCCTTTCTCCAGTGATTTCATCGAAGGAACTGGTAAATATGCTTCCTGATAGCCTGCTGCAATATCTTTTAAAATATCTTTTCAGAATGCATTTAGGGAAGAAAATGAGAGAGCGGAGCGTGGGAGAACTTTGGATGGAAGCTTGGAAAGTGGATGCTACTTCCCTTGAAAGCTTAATACTTTATTTGGCATTAGCTCTCATTCTCCCTATGAGGACAGGTTTTCCAATACTTCAGGGACATGTGTATAACTGAAAACTTGGTTCAATCCTGTGGTTCTTCTTCAGAAAAAATTTTATCACAACTATTGCATTTCACTGAATAATTTTATTGAAATTATATACACCAATCTAACTCTATGAACAAACAGCAACTATTTTGCTTCTTTTTCCTTTAAATTTTCTGCATCTTTATCATTTTCCAGCAAAGCTTAAGATTATAGGTTATCAAAAATCAGAGCCTGCCAATAGAACTATTATGGTGCAATTCAAAAAAATCTGAGCCAACGAACATCCTTATTTTATTCTTAATTCCTACAGTTTTTACATTTTTTGACTCGTTTCAAATGTTTTTTGCTATAAACTCAAGTTTAAGAACTATGCCCTTTATCCCTTTGTGTCCTTTATTCTTATGTGCTGTGTACATAGTAGAAACTTGGAAATATTTACTAAATGACAGTATGGGTCAATAAATGAGAAAGTGAGTAAGACAAGGCATGAGTGAAGGAGACAACTATACAGTCAAGGAAAATCCATACCAGATATGCAGGAACGGAAATGATGTCATGAGACCAGTGTCAGAGGATAAGAGCTAAGAACTCATGGTGTTCAAACAGTACATTTAAAAGGGTTTTCTAACATCTTTAGAAACATGAAATAATACATAAGATTGTTTCAGAAATTTATTTTCTCATAGAGAACCTGAAGATTATTATGTATCACACCTGTTTAAAGATAGCCTTTTTAAAAAATACAGTAACATGAAAAAAAATCCCCGAGTAAAATTTCTATCTTAAAATTTACAGAGATGATGTACCAAGATATAGTCCCAAAAGAAACTTAGGTGATTAACCTGATTTTTTGATAGATCCTTTTTGAAGTTCTCAAAATAAATATATAATGTGTTTTGTCCTTTGTATTTAAAATTTCCTTTTGGTGAACCAATAAAAATGTTTATGACTGAGAAACATTCAGGAGACACTAGAACTGAGGAAATTTTGCTTCACAAAATAAATTTTTAAGACATTATCTTAGAAAGGCTAATCTTTGCCAGCAGCTTAAATAATAAGCATGGAAGGAGTGGAAATCTTAAAATTTTGCAAAACTCACTAATTCTTACCATACTTACTAGTCAACATCTAGCATGTATCAACAACTCAAACAAGTATTATTTATGCAATAATAATTTTAAAAATTAATTTTAAAAATCTGACAAGATACTGAGCATGCGTTAGTGTGTTTTCCATTTTAACAAACTTGAATGATTTCTGTTATCAATTAATATTTGCCAGGTTTTTTCCCATAGCATGATCCCAATTCTGGAAAAATGGTAGAATGTAGTGGTACTTGGGACAGGCTTGTCATGGTGGAAGAGCATTCTCACTGAAGTAAAAGGCAAAGTAATCTCTTTTGAAAGATGGGCATGTGGAAAACCCATAATAACCTGATTAAAGAAAATGTATGTGGGGGGTTTCAATTTTAATAATTCAATTTGACAAGTTAGTGTAAGATGTATTAGTAGTTTGAGTAAGCAATACATAATGTAATTTTTCTTCTTAGTAAAAATAAATGAATGAATACATTTTTTAAAAACTGAGTTTGAGAGACAAGGAGAATCTAAAACCCATCTCTCTCTGTATTATTAATGTAATGGTTTGATTATTCAACAAATATTTTTTAATCTTCACTCTAGGAAGAATACTTATACCATGCTGATGGTCTAAAGATGCAAAAAACAGAATTTTCCTCCACATTATGAAGTACATAATCTCATGGGCGTGAGCAGTCTGATGTTAAATAATCATACAGATAAATACAAATTATGTCAATGAAAAGAAGAGGCATCTGGTGCAAAAAAAATAAAACCCACAAAACAAACAAAAACAATAACAAAAAACCAAAACGGAAACATACAATAAGACTTTTTCTCCTCTGAGGTTGAGTGAAGATTTCCCTGATGGAGGGAAGAAATACAAGGATATCATAGGAAAAAGAAAAGCCGTGTGGGGGTTGCTGAGTGAGGAATCGCATGGTGCCTGAGAGAAGGGTCTAGATCCGGATCTGTACACAGAGGCCAGGACCAAAGGGCCAGGCTAAAAGCATTTGAAGGTCACAGCTAAGGCCCTGTTCAAGATGTTTGACTTCATCCTGAGGGCAACTGGAAGCTGTTTAAGGATCTTAAGTAGAAAGGCTAACATGATTAGATTTGTGTTTTGAAAGGGTCGTTTTTCCCCCAGCGTGGAGAATGGATTTTAGGGCGTGAGAGTGAACATTGGGAGGCCAGTTAGGGGTTATTGCTGGCAATGGGTTGAAGATGATGGTAGCCTTCAGCAGCATGACAGTTTGGAGGAGACAAGACACGGCGAGACGTGAATGGATTCAAGATATTCAAATAAAT